AAGTCAGATGCACAGTTCCCATGATCCTTAGGGTATGGTGACAAAACAGGTAATAATGTGTCTTCTTTAATGACATTTTTATGATAAAATAATTTCATTTGACAATGCCTAGAACTTTCTTTTCTGGGTTTTCAATGGCTATATGTTATCCCTTCTGGAAAATTGCCAGGCTGCATCTTCGCAGTGGTGTATTTCCAGGATGATGACTCTGGACGAGAGAGTAAGGCTGATGACTTTGCGCAAATCTGCCTCACTTAAATCCAATTCACCCAGGAGTCAAGACATCACCCATTATGTCATCGGTTCTCTTCAGAAACAAAGGACAAACAATATCTGCAACATTTATACATTACTTGGCATAGGGAAGGCACTTAATAAATGTGTGATGACTTGACAGCTTGTTGATACAGCACAGATATTATACACCCCCAGATTTTTAAACAGAAATTAAAGCTGGCCACAAACACAGTTACACAGATTGAGCAGATGATATTTATGTAATATATCGGTGGTCACTGTATGTTTATGGCTTAAGAAGGGTTTAGTCCAACCTAAGTACATAGTGAAAAGACTAAAAAAATGAAATTTGAAGGGGCACCCTGAGGAAAAAATAGAGAAAATGAAAAGCTGAGCTTCTTCATAGAGAAACACAAATTCCAACCTACCTCTTACAACATGTGGAGGTCTCCCCATGGGGATTTAGGACATGGGGACATCTGGAAATCATCCTCACCTTCAGGTAAGAATCCATATTGTTCTGGGTGAGAAATTCTCTATGATTCCCCTCAGCACATAGAGTCTTCAAACTGGGATTTGGGCAAAATCTTGAGGTGCTTTTCAATCACATGAGGCATATCAAAATTATTCCAGGCTGCCAGACACTATGCCAATTATCTTGAAGGTTTCAGGAAATTTCCTCTGGGTCATTAAGAAAAAGAGTAGCTGAAATTTCCTCAGGTAATCCTTGTTACTCAAATCTCAGTGAAATTTCAAGTTCATCTAACAGTAGGACTATCAGGAAAAGAAAGGAAGGAAGGAAGGAAGGAAGGAAGGAAGGAAGGAAGGAAGGGAGGGAGGGAGGAAGGAAGGAAGGAAGGAAGAAAGGAAGGAAGGAAGGAAGGGACGGAGGGAGGGAGGAAGGAAGGAAGGGAGGGAGGGAGGAAGGGGGGAAGGAAAGAAGGAAGGAAGGAAGGAAAGAAAGAAGGACCCCAAATGTCTAAAAAAAAAGAAGGAAGGAAGGAAGGGGTAAGCCCAGACCATGAATGGCATTCCCAAAAGAAATTAAACCCTAGAGGTTACCCAGAATCAGGCCCTCATCATGTAAAACGTAGCACACAGAGAGCATTAAGATTTCATTGAAATCAGCACCTCAGAAATGCACAGTTACCCAAATCTAACACTCGGGATTCACTGGAGTCAGTCCCTCCAAAGTGACGTACAAGCCTCAAAGCATAGCAGCTAGCCGGGCACCTCTAGGCTGAGACCACAAGGGCCAGTGACCTTCACCAATCCCTGCCCTTTACCTCCCCTCAAAAGCTTGCTCTGGACACAGTGCTCTGTCTCCACAATAAAGGAACCAGGCTCCCAGTGCTCCAGTACTCCCATCCCATCCCAAACTCAATTTCCTGAGGGATAATACTATTTTGGGCTTTAGCATACATGGTGATTTTATAGATGAGAAAATGGAGGCCCAAGGAGGCTGAGACTATTTGGGGTATATTTTGGAGTATATTTCTATGTCCGTCTTCTGTTCATATTAACTCTGTCACTCAGAATGGAAGGCAGCTGAGCACAGGGTGGTTTTATTTTTGCCTTTGCATCCATAGCATCTTTCACAATGCCTGGCACATAGTAGGCTCTTAATAAACGTTTCTTAGTTGGTTGCCCAATGCCACATAGGTTGAAGGTAACAGAGCAGAGACTCAAAGCCAAGTCCTCCGGCCTAGATCTACTTTTCACTGGACCTGAAGTCAGGAGAGACCTGGGTTCAAGTGCCACTCCCGGCCCTGCCTAGTTGGGTGATCCTACACAGCCCACGCTCTCCAAAGGAAGGCAGGCCACCGCAGTGGAGAGGGGAAGTGGGTCCAGGAGCAACCTGCAGTCTTTCCCTGTGGGTCTAGTCCTTTGGAGGGGCTATGAGAGCCTCTTTACCCTGGGCCTCCTGGGCCTCACTAGCTGTAATGGGAATTCCTGCCCTAGGGAAAGGAAAAGGCAGGAGTTGAACAGCAAAAATCAGTCTCATTAGGTGAAGTGAGAGCAATTGATTCGATAAGGGCCCTGGAGAGCTGGTTTCCTGAAGAAGCAGCATCAGATAGATCCGGGAGGTGCCTGCTCTCTGGCTCAGGCATCTGGGGGGGTATCAGAGAACTGGGGCATCAGAGCAGAGAGGAGGGGTGAGCAGGACTCAGCACTGCTTTGAATAGGGGCTAGTGATTTTTGAGCCCTTTCTACTACGCCCTTTCTGCTCATTCTTTTTCTCTTCTCTATTCCTTTCTTAAATCTCATCTCTTTCCTTTATTTATCACTATCTCCACTCTCCTATGACTCGTGATCTTGACCAAATTAATTACTGTCCTTGGACCTCAGCTTTTTCATTTTTCGTCTGTTAGGTGCGCCTGTTATATACTATGCTGGAAGGAACATTGGAATTAAGGGCAGTGGACCTGGTGGGCTCCATCTCTGACAACTACTACTTGTGTGACCTTAGGCGAATCACTCTGATTCCCTGAGGTACTGGATCCTCCTCTTCAAAGGGAAAAGATTGGGTTAAATGGTCTCTGGGCTAGATTAATTCCCATTGAGATGATCCCCATAGATATGTGGCCTCTAAATTCCCTTGAGGGCACTTAGGTGGCAGAGTGCATAAGAGCCCTGGGCCTGGAGTCTGGAAGACCTGAGTTCAAATTCAGCCTCAGACACTTAGTAGCTGTGTGACCCCGGGCAAGTCGCTTAACTCTGGCTCAGTTTCCTCATCTGTAAAATGAGCTGGAAAAGGAAATGGCAAACCACTCCAGTAGCATTGTCAAGAAAACACACAGAGTCGGATGCAACTGAAAAATGACTGTATAATAGCGATGATCTTTAAAGCACACCTTCAGGGCAGCTCTGCATTAGCTCTAGCCATCTGTGGCTGCCTGGATTCGTTCAACATGCTATTTATCTATCAGAATGTCAGTGCACTTCCTAGACGTGTTCATGTTTGGATTAATTCCAGCTCTTAAGTGACCAGTAACCTCCCTAATTTATTAATAAGAGCATAGTAAAAGCATTGAGCTTTCATGAAGCAGATGACCTCCCAACGCTGTATTCACTCCCATTTCCACAGCACATTAAGGTACACAAACCACTTGTACATATTTGTTTACTTGTGTATCCCATTAAACTGTGTGCATCTTGAGAGCAGGGACTGTCTTTTCCCTTTCTTCAGGTTCCCCTGGTTTAGAATAGTGCCTGGCACATAGCAGTTCCTTAATAAATGCTCATTGACTCACTTGCCTTACATGTGGTATAGCATTTATACTAATATCACCTGTTTTACAGATGATGAAACTGAGGCAAGTAAAGTGAGTGACTTCCCCAGAACCCTCCACGAACAACATTTATTATGTGCCTGCCAGGCACTCTGCTAAGAGCTTTACACATACTGTCTCATTTGATCTCACAATAACCCTGGGAGGTAGGCTCTATTATTGCTACTAAGGAAATTGAGGCAAGCAGAGGTTAAGTGACTTTGCCAGGATCACAGAGCTAGTAAGTGTCTGAGACTGGATTTGAACTCAGGTCTTCCAGACTTCAGGACTAGCACTCTTATTTGCTACATCCCCTAGTCTACAGCTAAGAAGCATGAAAACTGGGGTGTGAACCCTGGTCTCTTGAATCTAAATATAGTACTGTTCATTAGGGTACAATGCTGCTTGTCAGAAGTAGCAGGAATGGGGCAGCTAGGTGGTGCAGTGGATAGAACACCGGCCCTGGAGTCAGGAGGACCTGGGTTCAAGTCCAGCCTCAGACACATAGCACTCACTAGCTGTGTGACCCCGGGCAAGTCACTTAACCCCAATTGCCTCACCAAAAAAAAAAAAGTAGCAGGAAGCATAGCACAGGGGACAAGCACAGGACTAGGAGTCAAAGGACTTAGATTTGAACCCAGCTCTGGTAGCTGCTACTTTGGGGATAACGGGCAAAGGAAGGAGCTGGATTACATGAACATTAGTGTCCCTCCCACTTTAAATCTTTGTCGTCCTGCAGAGTAATCAGCCACGCTCTGCTTGAATGCTTTCTGTGACAGGGGGTTCACCCCCACCTCGTTCATTGCTAGTGATAGGAATTATTAATAGCTGAAATGAGCCCCGCTGCTGAGGCAGAGGAACCTGGATTGATGCCAGCTTGGACATTTATTACCTGCAGGACACAGGCAGTCATTTAAACTCCCTGGGCCTTCATCTGCATTTGTAGGATGAAGTCTCACCCAGCCCTGACGTTGCCTCCTCACACCTCCACCCCTCACTGCTCATCCTGTTCAATTCCTCCTCTCCCTCTTTGTGGTCCTAACCCACACCTCCTCCTGGACCTAACCAGCGGAAATTCCTTGAAAACCAAAGCCATTTCATGAGTCTTTGTGTTCCTGGAGATTATCTCCATGCCTGGCACTTGGTAGGCACTCAATAAATGCTTGTTGGTCGCTTGTTTGCTTGGATAACCCTGGCCAAGTTATTTGATCTTTCTAAGCCCTGGTGTCATCATCTGAAAACGGGGGATGACAACCCTCTTTCTGTCTCATAAAATTTAAGTGAAGTGCTTTGGCACAAACAGGCAAACAAAACAACCTGAGCACCAATGTGGACATCATCATTAATTCCATTACAGTAGAATTCCTGGTCTAAAATGTCCCAGGGCTCAGGTCCCCTCATTGCTTATCGTCTCTTCCTCTTGAGACTTGCCTGAAGTTAGTTCCTTCTCAAGGAGAAACTGCTGCTCCCTGAGGCCTCCCTGGAGCCGGCATGGGAGGAATGGAAGCAGAGGTCTGCAGGCTGGGGATAAAAGGACAGGAGCAGCCTCCCCGACAGCCTCTGCCAAGGTCCGGCTTTCTGAGGCTGTGGGAGTTTCCAGGGACTCTAGCCCCCGCCCCCAATACACACACACACACACACACACACACACACACACACACACACACACACGCACGCACTCCTATTGGTCTGGAGATGGTTCTATGTCCTCTGCTTCTCCTCCTTCTGGGCCCTCTGTCCATCTCCATTTGTATGGAGCCCGTGAGTGGGGGGCTGAAGGTAGCTGCCCAGAGACAAGACAGGATAGGGGATGTGCTGATAGGAGGTACTTGTCCCATCCTTCTAAGAAACTCCTCTTTTGCTGGTGACTTCACTTTTCCACCCGCTGGAGGGAATGCCACAGAGTGAGTACGAATGTCATACACACGTGCTTGGGACTTGGAAAATTACCAAAAAGCAGGGTGGTTGTGTCAAGGCTCTGAATAAATGAAGAGCTTCTGTTGCATGGGTTGACTGGGTTTGTACTTAGAAGGACAGGGGGAACCAGATCATCATTTTACAGATGGGGAAACTGAGCATTCAAAGGGATGTCATGGGGATTGGGGATTGAGCGTGCCCTGCTAGTCCCCAGAGGGGGTAACAATGAGAAGTGGGGGGGTAGGTTTAAAAGACGCATCATGTTTTAGGTTCAGGAAGAACTTGCTCATAATCAGAATTATCCCAAAAAAGAATAGGTGTCCTCATAAGGCAAAGAAGTTTTCTCTCAAGGGCTGGAGTCCTCCTTGTTGGGCAGGGTATAAAGGAGATTTTTTTTTTTTGTGAGGCAATTGAGGTTAAATGACTTGCCCAGAGTCACACAGCTGGTGAGTGTTATGTGTTTGAGGTCAGATTTGAACCCAGGTCCTCCTGACTCCAGGGTGGGTGCTCTATCCACTGCTCCACCTAGCTGTCCCTATAGAGGGGATTCTTCTCCATGTTCAGAGGAGATGGTATTCCCAGTAAGAGGCAGCATAGTATGGTGGAAAGAGCAATGACTCAGGGACCCTGATTCAGATCTGACCTCTGCCACTCACTATCTATGTGACATTAGCTCCACCCTCTGGCCCTGTCTCTCTTTATTGGCAAAATGAGGAGGTTGGGCTCCAGGACCCACAAGCCTTGTCCTGGCCAGCTCTGAATCCATGATGCCAATGAATTCTGAGAGTCCATGGTTCTGTGATCTCACTTGACCATCACAGTCTTGTGAGAGAGGTAATGCCAGACTTACTAGGGTTAATTATAAAGATGGAGCACAGAGTGAAGTGACATGTCCACAGTCACACAGTCAGTAGCTTGTAGATCTAGGTCTCCAGCTCCAGGCCCAGTGCCCTCCTCATTGCCCCATTGATTTTCCCATGAACCACCACACATCCAGCATTTTGTCCTGACCTAGAAGAGGATCTCATTTGATCCAATACCCACTTGACTCTCAAAGCTAAAAATAGGTGAGCCCTTTTATGGGTTGTGGGTCAGGGTAGGGAGAAAGGGAGGAACTGGACCTCAGGAGGACAGGTAGAATTTGCATGCCCGGGGCAAAGTCAATCTTCATTCTCTCAACAAGATCGTTTCATTTACCAATCTAGAAGTGTTGACAAAAAAGGAAATAAGGTTAATTTGGTATAAATCTCTTTCTTCCTAACTATCTGTCACTATTTCTGTCTGTCCATCTATCTGTCCAGCATAATTACCTTTCTCTAATCTTGATGAACTCTGTTATCTCTCCAAAATTCTTCAACTAATTGTCATCCAGTCTTTTCTTAAAGGTCTCCAGTGATAGGGAACTCACTATTTCCATGTATTTAATATCGGAGTAGGAGTGTCATAAAAGGCCACTGACATCAGACAGTCTGATCCATCCCCATTTGCTAATTGAACAAATGAGTGAATGAGCAGGAATCCTCCAGAAGGGTCGCCCAACCTCCACCTCAAAGACATCCATTTGTGTCCCACACAGACAGTCCCAGTGTGAGGTGTAAAGGAGGGAATCGAGGACATGGAGCCATTAGACGCCAAAGTCCAGCTCACAGTCCTGACACTGACTAGTTGTATGAACAAAGGCTAGTCACTAACCCTCTCTAGACCTCTCTATTCCCATCTCTGATATGGGTATCCAATAATGTCTACAGTGCCTATCTCCCAGGGTTTTTATAGAGACAATTTTATATAATATACGTTGAGTGCTTAGCAAAGTTTATAATGTTATAGAAATGTGGTGGAGTGGGTAGGTGGGTAGGGAGAGACATAAAGTAATAATGGATAGTATACTGGACTTACAGTCAGAAAGGCCTGGATTCACATCCTGCCTCAGACACTTACTTGTTGGGCAAATCACTTTATCTCCCTGAGCCTCAATTTCCTCACATGTAAAATGAAGGGGCTGGACTCTGGGATCTAACATCTCTTCCCAGTCTGTAGCTATCTATGATAACTATGAGAGCCTATCTGCCACCACCACTCTATTACCTTTACCTTGTGTATTTAGACACTTAAATAGGGAAGATAAAGGGGTATTCAACCAATTGTGAAAGCACATCTACTCATGTCATTCCATTACAAAGAGAAATAAAACTCAGATTGAACTAGAAGGAGATTCTGGTTATTAGCTGAGCAAAAACTGACCGAACACCAGATGGACTTGAAATAGCTAGCTTTCTAGTTCCATACTCAGTCTAAACAGAACCCAGCAACAGAAGGAAAACCTAGCCTTTGAGAGGCAATCAGCTGTAGGCAACTAATTTTCCTCTCCTCCACCCCACCATATGAGTAACAGCCACCATTATTTCTATGTTTGTTATTCACCCTACCCCCCACCCAAAAAAAAAAAAAGAATTGTTAGACTCTTGAACTCCCAACCTGTGTTACATGCATCTGTCTTAGTGTGATGGCATGAACTGGCCAATGGGAGCCTGTCCTGACATTGTTCCCAGATATTCTTGCCTGGTTTCGGTTCAAGCAACCACACAGAGTCTTGGAGTAATCCTTCTTCCTGGGGATGATGACTCTGGGGCTTGTATAGTGTGATGACAAAGAGTTCCCTAATTGTCTGATGAAGGCAGAAGCCCTGCTGAAACACTATGGAAAAATCTTTTCCCCCCTCTTGCCTTTGGCTCCCAAACAGGCAGTTCAAAGTAGGCCTGACTTGCCCACAACCACAAAAGAAAGAAAACAGCAAAAGAGTGCGTTTCTTCTTTTATGTACCCATCGAAGGGCAGCTCAGTCACCCCTGAGGTCTCCTGCCTTCAGCAAGCAACTAGGGAGGTCTGTGTAATCACATAGTTAAACCCCTAAGTCAACACAGCAAGAAATGGGCTTCTATGTGGCTGTTTGGACTGGAGCCAGGCATTGAATATCTGAGCATGCTTCAAAAATTGGCCCCCATAGATGCTTGCACCCCATTATGCTAGTATCTCTGAGGCTGAGCACTGTGCTAAATAGAACCTGAGTAGGTTTATTGAATTGAATTGTTGAAGCTGCTGGTGGTGGGTGGGACAGGAACAGAGAGTGGGAAGGTCCAGAGAAGGGTGGAATAGGAAGGTGTGGGTCTTAGCTCTGACACTTGGAGGTTGTGTCATCCTGGGGGAGCCCCTTTCAGTTTCTCAGTCCTAGTCTCCTCATTTGTAAAATGGGAACAATTCTCTTTGCACTACTCACCGAAATCACAAGGTAGCTGCTGACAAATGTCAGTTTTAAAACATAGAATGGGGAGTTGTTATTTTTATGTTTGAAAATGATCACTTCCGGGTAAATCAGTGTGAGATGGCAATAGGGGCTAGAAGACCATTTTTTCTATAATTATCTGCAGACAGTAGCAGATACCAGCCTTATTGTTTTTCATCCATACCCACTTTGTATCTTGGGGTTATGCAGCTTCCCAGGGTTTTGTCTCTGCCATTGAGGAGATCAACAGAGATGTCCGCCTGCTCCCCACCCTCACCCTGGGCTTCTCCATCTGGGACTCTAGGGACTCTGTTGCTGGAGCTCTCCTAGGAACCATGGACTTCCTGACCAGGCAGGGGAAGCTGGTCCCCAATTATAGCTGCACAGCCCATCCACCGCTGGCTGCCCTCATTGGAGAACTTCGCTCTGCTCTGTCTATGCCTATAGCTAGATGGTTGGGACTTTACAAATTCCCTCAGGTGAGTGACTCCAGAGTCCTCTTCTATTCCCTGCTACCATCCTACCATCTTCCACTAGCCTACCAGTTCTGGTCATATCAACCATGCCCTTCACTGACCTCACTGAATGGAGAAGTTACCTTAATAGCTGATTTTAATGAGTTTTATTGTTTTTTTTTTCCTTTTCTATCATAGTCATTTCCCAATATTCCTGAATTATTGAACCCTTTATAACATTAAATGAAACAGTTAAACAAAATCAGTGAGCACAGTCGTTCCTTCTGATAATGTGTGCACCGACTCATACTTGCAGTCACCCACCTCTCAACTGGATAACATTTTTATATTGCTTTTTTTGACAAAGTATTTTCCTCAAAATATCCCTATGAGGTAGGTTGTGAAAGTATTATCACACCCATTTTACAAAAGAAAGAAAAGGAGGCTCAAATAAGTAATAGGGAATCAGTAGAAGAATCATGGAGATAGATTCTGGGGACCTGGGTTTGAATCCTACCACTAACATGTTACCTTGGTGATTCTGAGCAAGTCACCTCACCTTGATAGACCTTAACCTCCTTATCTGCAAAGGGGTGGGGCTGAACTAGATGTCCTCTCTGTGCCCTTCCAAGTTTCAGTCTAGGACCCATAGCCCGTATGATTTGTCTTTACCCCATAACTGATGTCACAACTGGGATCTTAGAGAATCACAGAGTATCAGAGCTTGAGGAGAACATGGATTTGTCAGATCTCAAAGAGTCCTTTGCAATCAACAAAAACAACACCTTCATCCTTTGAGAAATGAAACTTTCTGTCACTGTAGCTCATGAATGTTCCCTCTTGTGTTTGCCATTAAGAACATAGAATCTGAGGCTCACAGAGGTGCTACGATTTTCCCATAGTCCCACACACAGGTAGGAAATCTTACATCTGGGATTTATGCCCAAGTCACTGGGCCATAAATCCAAGCTTATCTGTACTCCACTAGGGTGCCTATAATTCTTTATACTCTATATTTTCAGTCATAGAACACATTAGTTCTTTCAGATATCTCTATTCTGCATGCTTAGGGGCTCATGATCTATAAGCTGGGACCTCAGAGTATTAGGATATAAGAAGAAGGTCTGGGCTTGCTGCTTATGCAGGGAGGATGGTTGTAGGCATCCAAAACATAGTGAACAGAGTCAAGGATAGGGAATGGGGTGAAGCAGAGCAGATTGGGAGTACAGAGAATAATCCAGGTTGGCCAGAGTGGAAGATGTGTATAAGGGAATAGTATGATATAATACAGAGTGATCCCAAACTGCAAAATGAATTTTCTTGGAAGAGGTTGAGTTCCCCAATCTTTGAGATCTGCCAGCAGAGACTGAGTGCCTGCTTTTCAAAAATATAACAGAGAATTATATTGGTTGCATATGGGTTGCACTAAGTGTTCTATGAGGTCCTTCCAATTCCACATTTCTGGGATTCCATGAATTGAATTGAATTCTTTCTTTCCAAAGAACTATATAAATACAATTACCATGACTACTATTGTTGTAATTATAGGCTTGAGAGCTTAGCTTTTCTACTTGGACTAAGTGATGGATTTTGTATCACAGCACTCAAATACTTTGTGGAAATGGACAAATAACAACGAAATTCATGGAAAAGAAGAAAAGGTCAAGGATCTTCAGGAAAATAAAAGAAAGAGCAGAAAAAGAAGAATCTGGAAATGCCAGATCTAGAGTTCTGACATAAAATTGTTAATACTAACAATATTTGTTACTGAATTTAAAAAAAAGTAGAAAATTTGAAAGTAAAATGATTAGGAAAATAAGACCCAGAAGTAACCAACAATAGTGACATGGTATTAGAGAAACTCAAGAACATTAATTATTGGAGTAAGAAAAAAGGGAGGGAATGGAATAAGCATTCATAAGCACTTTCTCTGTGCCAGGAACTGTCATTTGATGTTTGTGACACCCTGTGAGGTTCTATTATTATCTCAATCTTCCAGTTGAGGAAACTAAGGGAAACAAAGTTAAGTGACTTGCTCAGGCTCACACAGCTAACAAGAATCTTAGGCCAAATCTGAATTCAGATTTTTCTGACTCCAGGCCCAAGCCTCTATCCATTATGCCCCAGGCTGCTTCTAAGTCAAGGCAATTTACTTCACAAAAACTGCTGTGAAAACCAGAAAAGTTCACAAAAATTACATTTAGACCCACATTAAATACCACATGCTACAACAAGCTCAAAACTCCTTGCCAATTAAAGCTCCATTTAGCAGATAGGATTAGTCCATCAGCTATTCCCTTCTTGATCCAGTCAAAGGAGTTCAAACCTCATGGCCTTTGATGATTGATTCAATTGAAAAGGTATTCTTATATGAAAGGTATCAAGGCATAGAAAATCTTATGTAAATTACATTAATTGGAGTTGATGTGAAACCCATCACTACACATAGAAATAGTCATGTCAATTTTTTTTAAACAGAGAAAAATTGAGAGAAGGATATCTTTTTTCACAGCTATGGAGAGTGAAATAATTCATAACTAGATAAGGGACAGAGTAATCTGTAGAGATAAAATAGCCATTTTAATTAAGTAAAACAAAAGCTTTTGCACAAGAAAATCAATGCAATTTTAATTAAGAGGAAAGTACTCAACTGGGGAAATTTTTAAAAAACATTTTTGTTTGAAGTTTTGAGTTCCAAATTAGATATATCCCTCCCTCCCTCCTTGACACAGTAAGCAATCAGATACAGGTTATACAAGTGCAATTATGTAAAACATTTCCATATTAGTCATTTTATACAAGAAGGCTCAAATAAAAGAAAAAAAATGAAAGAAAGTGAAAAATAGCATGCTTCAGTCTGCATTCAAACAATATCAGTTCTTTCTCTGGAGGCAGATAGTATGCTTCATCATTAGTCCTTTGGGATTGTCTGGGATCATTGTATTGCTGAGAATAGGTAAGTCATTCACAGTTCTTCATTGGACAATATTGCTGTTACTGTGTACAACATTCTCCTGGTTCTGTTCACTTCACTATGCATCAGTTCATGCAAGTCTTTCCAGCTTTTTCTGAAATCATTCTGCTTGTTCTTTTTCTTTCTTCCTTCCTTCCTTTCTTTCTTTCTAGTTTTCAACATTTACTTCCATAAGATTTTAAGTTCTAAGTTTTCTCCCCATCCTTCACCTCCTCCCACCCCAAGATGGCATGCAATTTGATATACATTCTACATATACATTCCTATTAAACCTATTTTCACATTAATCATGTTGTAAAGAAGAATTAGAGTCAATGGGAGAAACCACTAGAAAGAAGAAACAAAAGAGAGAGAGAGAGAGGAAGAGAGAGAGAGAGAATAATATGCTTCAATCTGTATGCAGACTCCATGGTTCTTGTTCTGGACATGGATAGTATTTTCCATCACGAGACTTTTGGAATTGTCTTAGATTCTTGCATTGCTGAGATCTAAATCTATCAAAGTCAGTCATCAAGCAATGTAGCTGTTACTGTGTACAATGTTTTCCTGGTTCAGCTCACTCCACTCCTGCTTGTTATTTCTTATAACACAATAATATTCCATTGCAATCATATACCACAGTTTGTTTAGCCATTTCTGAATTGATAAGCATCCCTTTGATTTCCAATTCTTAGCCACCACAAAAAGAGTTGCAAGAAATATTTTTGAACAAATAATTCCTTTTCTCTTTTTTGGGATGTCTTTGGGATATAGACCTAGCAGTGGTATTGCTGGATCAAAGGGTACTCACAGTTTTATAGCTCTTTGAGAAATGTAAATAAACATTGACATTTATATATGTAATGATAGGTTTCACACCAACCCCAATTAATGTAATTTACAAAAGATGTTGTATGCCTTGATGCTTTTCTGGAGAGCCAAATTGCTCTCTAGAATGGTTGGGTCAGTTCACAATTCCACCAGCCCATTGTGTATCAGTGCGTCTGTCCACTTACAGCTCTTCCACGTGTTAACTTTTTGGGGGCATCTTTGTCAGTTTGATAAATGTGAGGTAAACCTTTGAGTTGTTGTATTTGCAATTCTCTTACTATTAGTGATTTGGCACACTTTCAAATGACTATTTATAGCTTCCATTTCTTCATTTGCAACCTGCTTGTGTACATACTTTTAATACTTCTTGTCCTTTTCTAAATACATTCGTATAATTTCCGTATGAATCTTTGATATCAGACTATTATTAAAGAAATTTGTTGCAAAAAATTTCCCCAGTTGACACTAATGCCTGTTCAGTAGCACCTTTTCGTTGTTGTTGTTGTAACCAAGACTGGAAATAAAGTGAGAGCCAATCATTTGGAAAATGGCTGGACAAATAAAACTTGTATATTAATATAATGAAATGTTATTGCACCATAAGAAAATATGACACAATGTAATGGATTCAGATAAGCTGGGGATACTTAAATGAATTAGAGCAAAGTGAAAAGAGCAGAACCAGGAGAACAATGAGTAAAATGATGTAAAGCAAAGCAACTTTAAAAGACCTCACAACTCTGATCAATGTAGGACCATTTAGGACTTCAGAAAACTCATAATGAAACATGCCTCTTGCCTCTTTCCTTAGAGAGGATGGACTAGATAGGGAAAAAGAAAGATTTTTAGACATAACCACTATGTTGATTTTTTTCTGCTTGACTATGGGAGAGACAGCATGGTATAATGGATAGCATGATAACTTTAAAGCCAGAAAGACTTATGCTTAAGTCTCATCTCTAAGTAGTACTGACTCTGTGACCCTGAGCAAGTTGCTTAAACTTCTCAGTGCTCATGGTGCATTATACAATCTCTAAGATTATATATTGAAGAAAAGGCACAGGACTGCATTACTTAAGGGGATTTCCTTACTTGGCAAATCTCAAAATTAATGAAATTATAGATCAAGTATCCATTATATACTCATTTGTTATTGGGAGTCTTCCATTTGGGAGGGAAGAGAGTTTGTGAATAACAATAAAGATGCAAAGAAAATGAAAAAGAAAAAAAAAAGAAGGAAAGGAAAGAAGGAAGAGAGGGAAGGAAGGAGGGAGAAAAGGAAAGAAGAGAGAAAGAAAGAAAAGGAAAGAATGAGAATAAACAAAACCATTAAAATGAACAGAAACAAGAATATTCAGTAAGGGATGACACTAAGAGGACAATTGTGGTACTATGAAGACAAATATTGACGCTTTTAAAATGTTATGTCATGAAAGTTCATGTTCTCATAAGTCATCTTTTTGCTTCTTTGTATATTGAAGTGTTCATGCTTGTTAATATTTGTTAAGATAGGTAGATAGATAGACAGACAGGAGAGAAAGAGAGAGAGAGAGAGACAGAGAGAGAGAGAAAGAGAGGATGGATAGATAGATAGATAGATAGATAGATAGATAGATAGATAGATAGATAGATGGAAGGATAGAAAGATAGATGAATAGATAGATAGGTAGGTAGAAGCCTAACTTTCCACATGAGAGGTCAGAGAATTGAGAACGTTTACCCAAATGTTAGACAGTATAGTAAATATTTATTAATATTAAAAGTTGATTGATAGATATCTATACAAAGCTGAATATTTCTTGTACCTCTCTTCTCCTGGGGCTTATTGTTTCACCCGTATGAAATGTCTTTTCCTTCCAGATTAGCTATGCATACAGCATAATCAGCTTGAGTGACAAGACCAACTTTCCTTCATTCCTAAGGACAATTTCCAATGACCTTTCCTGGGACCATGGTATTACCATCTTACTGAAACACTTTGGATGGATTTGGGTAGGAATTGTTTCTCATGATGATAATTTTGGGCATCAAGGGACTTCCCTGATGAATGCTGAGCTGAAGAAGGTTGGCATCTGCAGGGAATTCCTCATTGATATTCCTACTTTTCTGTTTCCAGAGAAGTTCCAGGAGGGCCTATATATAATGAAAAAATCAACAGCCAAAGTCATCATTACAATTCTAAATACTTGGACTTTCCTTAACTTCTTAGGTCTCTTCTCATTAAGTGAGATTGCTGGAAAAATCTGGATAGGAGGCTATGTCCAATGGAATGAGTTGATGAGGTACAACCAAGATGTTCCTCAAATTATCACCATCTCTCTGCCTCAACCAACAACTCAAGGGTTCCCCAAATTCTTCAGTCATCTGCATCCAGATAGGGCATCAGAGGATATCTTTGTGAAAATCTTTTGGGAAAATGCCTTTAACTGCACATGGCAGCACCAGGACCCCCATTCCTTGTGGAATAGAACAGAGACTGGAGGACACCACTTCTGCACAGGATCAGAGCACTTACAAGACAAAGATGTTCCTGCATTCAATGTGGGAAAACTGAGTATAACCTGAAATTCCTATAAAGCAGTGTACAGTATAGCCCATGCACTCCAGGACATGAGTTCTTGCGAAATGGGAGAAGGGCCCATTGCAAACAGGATATGCCCAGATGTTAAGACCTTAAGACCTTGGCAGGTGAGAGAACCCAAGTCAGATATAGCTATATAGGTATACAAACATACACATGCACACACATATACATATACATATATAAAACCATGCATTTGTAGCCACTGGAGATGTGAGGAAAGCAGACTGAAACCTTCAGTGACTCTTGAAAGCAAAGGACAGAAGTGACTATGGGGACAAATCTCAGAGGGAAACCTAACACGTTGAATACAGGGTATAAATAAGAAAGGGTCTTGATAGGCTGGGAAGTTCAGATGAATCTGATAAGATTCAGTATAATAGGGTTGTATGCAAATTATTATGCATGGGCTCCAAAAATGAACTACATTAAGTACTAGATGGAGAGGAATAGTTAAATACTATTTAATGTGAAAAGGATTGAAGGAGGGAAAAGGTGTCCTAACAATTAGAGTTATTCCAGAATGTAGAAGGTTCCCTCTTTTCTTAAGTCTTCAAGAACAGGCTGTATGACAACTTCTCTGGTATATTCTATTCGGAATTCTTCTGAGGTATGTTGTTGTTGTTGTGAAGTCAATAAGTCATGTCTGACTCTTTGTGACTCCATTTAGTGATTTCTTGGCAAAGTTAATGGAGTAGTTTGCTGTTTCCTTCTCCGGCTCATTTTACCAATGAGGAAACTGAGGCAAACAAAGTTTAAGTGACTTACCCAAGTTCACATTGCTAGTATATGTCTGAGGCCAGATTTGAACTCAGGTCCTCTTGATTCCAAGGCTGGCACTCTATCCACTGCACCACCTACCTGCCCCCTCTTGAGGTATGACGTGAACCAAATTGCCACTGAGGTCCTTCAAAACTCAGAAATTCTATGATACTGATTTTGTGACCTAAGGGTTTCTGTTGTTTCACATGAGAATTTCTGTTTATCTACCTATTTACTTATTGTCCAAAGCTGGAGTTCCACTTGAGTATGAATCCCCCATGGAGGAAATCATCTTCACTAATCACTAATCAATTACAAAAGGGTATTTACTGAGAAGGTACAATACAAATAGTAATTACAAAACATTCCCCCCAAACTATGAAACACCCTTTTACTCACATAAGGTTCTTGGGGAAAGTTAGAGCAAACTTTAGGAGAGCATGTGGAAAACAAGCTGGGTAGAGGAGTAATCACAACTTTGGATGCTGGGACTCCTTTTCTCTCTTTGTGGCTTCATGAGATTCCACTTGGGATATATCCCTCTGCAGAACTTGGAGGACCCTTGTCTTTCTAGAACCAACAAGCAGCATGTCTCCACCTCACAAGGGTCATGATCCCTGAAGCCACAGCAGACCCCAGGCAACTGTTCTTCCGCATGTTTCTGCTGGTGCTTTCCCGATCATCTGCTACTGCTTTCTCTTCCAGTCTGTATCAGAGTTATAGACTGATACAGACTCTAGTGGTATTTGGATCCTCTCATGGCTATTTCACCCATTCGACTTTCTTACTGTTAAAACCTAATCAATTCCATCTCTGCTTATTCAGTTGCCTATGATAGGGGAAGAGAAAAGAGAAAAGATAGAGGTATCATATATTCATCAATGCAGAATAGCTGGTGAGACAATGTACTTTACAACCATTTACAGTAAATGGATCTTGTCTAACTCACTCATAGGGAAAAAAAGAGAGAAAAGATAAAAAGGTTATTACTTCTATATGCTAACTCAGTCCAAGCTTGAAAATTCGTTATTAATCCTTCTGTTTTTTCAACCAATTAGAAGACTTTTTTTTGGTCACTACACAGTATCAACCTCTGCTATGATTGGGAATAGTCTTTTCATATGGTCACATGGTCACTGAAAAGACCAGAATATATTCTAAGGACTGGGCTCTTATTAGCAAGTCCTTGGATTGTAGCTGTATAACCTTAGGTAAAAGGCTTCACCTTTCTGGGTCTCATTTTCTTTTCCTTTCAAACAATAGGGTTGAACTACATGACCTACTCCAAAAAGGAAAACATTTTTCCTTTCTAACTCTAATAGTCTTTGAAATGTTATTGCAACAGAAAAAAAGGCTTTAAAGGTATATTGGAGGAAGGAAGAAGACTGCAGAAAGAGAGAGAATGACCATTTAGGTTCATAGGGTGATTGTAACAGCCAACAGAGAGGGTTAGGGTTATTCAAAACTTAGTTTGCATCTATTTCCTTTGCTGAGGAGACTTATTTTTATTTAGATGGACAAACAAAAAGAATGATTGGTAGCTAATAGAGGGTCCTTAGCTACCCTCACTGAATTCAAATCAACACATACAATGAACTATGTCCCAGGGGCTGGAAGAGTTGTCATCTGAGGGTTCTCAGCCACTGTCTCTGAAATTGTAAACTGGGAAAAATACTACAGGAATGGAGAAAAATAAAGCCTCAAATTAGGTGGTGGAGGTGGGGGGGTAATAATAATAATTTAGTTAGCATGTGTATAGCGCTTTAAGGTTTCAATTTCTAACAGATCTTTAGAATATGTTATTTAAAATTTTTAGTGAAAAGGAAGTTAAAATTCAAAAGTCAGAGAGATTTTTTTAAGGGCATACCGTGTCTGACTAATTTCACTTCCCTTTTTGAGAGTATTACGAGCCAGGGAGAGAGACACCATGGCATATTTCATAGAGTTGGCCTTTGGGTTGGCAAGACATGAGTTCAAGTCCAACTTCTGACCCTTACTATTTGAGCCTGGGCAAGTTATTTAATCCCCCATTGCTTTTAGGTACTTCAAAAATTATATTATGGGGGAAGCAAGACCCCAGGCTTTATGTCCAAGATTTGGCCCCCTTCTCGCCAAAGTTTCACAATGACATACATATATAGTAAATAACAAAGAAACTCATTGATCCAAGTCAACAGCAAAACAGAAATCCGAGAAGGTACATAGAATATACCAAGCAATATAGAATGAAGGAGCTCTGTGATTGGGAGAGAGATGACAACTCAACAAAGTGAGAGAGTCCTAGATATTAGCCAAGGAGAATTTCCCTAAAGCTTTTAGTGGAGCAAGATAGAGGCATGATGGGGACTGCCAGCTCCCCTCCTGTCAGCTTATTCACACCATTGTATAAAATAACTCCAATATCAATATATAGAGACAGAGATGGATAATATAGATGGGAGATATAGAAATGGGTGTATTATCTGAGTTTTCTAAGCCTTGTTGATATCCAGAGGTGAACCCAGGGCTCTACACACAGTTAGCACTTCATAAATGTTTGTAGAATAAAATGAATTTAAACAACTTGACTGCAATCCAGGGGCTACTGAGGTAGGAAAAAGCGGTAAATCCCCTTTCTGCAGATAGGCAGCTTGGTACAGTGGAAAAGATGTTGGAGTTGAAATAGGCAGACAAGTTAAATCCCTACTCTTGTATTTACTACTTGTGTGATTGACCTCTTTGGACCTCAGTTTTCTCATCCATAAAATGAATCTGTCATGGATGGCCTTGAAGGTTGCCTCAACTATAAGTCTATGATCCTATGGCCTTCTTCCCTGGAATAGGTGAATAAAATAATGTTATTCCATGTGAGAGTCCTAAAAGTCTGTTACTGTCAGTGACAGTGAGGGCAGGACCTGTTCCCATGGCCTGAGGATTCAGAAATAGGGCCTGCATGGGAATGAGGCAGTAAGTGATCCCTGGTTCTATCCCAACAGACATGCAGCGGTGTGCAAAGTGCCCAGAGGACCAATATCCAAACACACATAGAGATGACTGCCTCCCCAAAGTCCTGACTTTCCTGGCCCATGAAGAACCTCTGGGGATGATTCTATCTTGTATGGCCTTTGCCTTCTCTCTCCTCACAGTCATAGTTCTCATTATCTTTGTGAAACACCGAGGCACTCCCATAGTCAGATCCAACAACAGGGCTCTCAGCTATACTCTGCTTCTTGCCCTCACCCTGTTTCCTCTGCTCATTGCTTTTCATTGGTTGCCCAACTACAGCCAGCTGCCTCCTCCGACAGACGATTTTTGGAATCACCTTCACTGTGGCCATCTCTTCCGTCTTGGCCAAAACCATCGTTGTGATTCTGGCCTTTAAGGCTACAAGGCCAGGAAGCTGGCTCAGGAGCCGGGCAGGTACCCGGGTGTCCAACGCTATTGTCCTCATCTCCTCCTTCATCCAAGTTAATCTCTGTGGGGTCTGGATAGCCACTTCTCCCCCTTTTCTAGACATGGTCACTGACTTTGAGCCTGGCCACATCCTCATTGTTTGTAACGAGGGCTCCATTACCAACTTTTACTGTGTCCTGGGCTACATGGGATTCCTGGCCCTAGGGAGCTTCACTGTGGCTTTCTTGGCTAGGAGCTTGCCTGACACCTTCAATGAAGCCAAGTTCATCACTTTCAGCATGTTGGTGCTCTGTAGTGTCTGGGACTCCTTCCTCCCAGCCCACCAAAGCACCAAGGGGAAGACCATGGTGGCTGTGGAGGTCTTTGCCATCTTGGCCTCTGGCGCTGGGTTGCTGGTCTGCATCTTCATCCCCAAGTGCTATGTGATGTTCTGGAGGTCACATCAGAACACCGAGGAGTGGGTGAAGGGCCACGCTCATTCCAGGGGGGCAGTTTCACCCTAATGCTCTGCCTCTTCTTTCTCCCTATTCTATTTTTGGTAAGGCCTCAGGATCCCAGAAATAATGACTGATACAGGACTAAAAGAGTAGAGAAGGTTTATCTTCAATGGTTCATAAGCATTGATATGGCAGAGAGCAAAACCCAGAACTGAAATAATTTAGATGTTTAGTAAGATATCTAGCAGAGGGAAGAGCCAAAAAGGGGGTGGCCTACTCCCCCAAGCCTCTCTAAGTTACACATTACATAGGGTTCAAACAAAGGAATGAGGAAACACTAGCTGACTGGTCAGCATGGAGGAAGTTTCCTGATAAGACACGTATCTTGCTTGAAATACATTGAGGTATAAAACTCCTCACATTAATCTTTGTGTCTGAAAGGTTTCTGGTAAGCTAACCTAGATCCTGAGTTAAGCATTAAACAAATCTGGTCTTTAAGCAATAGGTCTGGTTTCTTAGCCATGTGGGGTTAGGTTCAAATAATGCAATAAAGCTTTCCCACAGTATCATGTTTTGGGCTGTGCTGCAAGAAGCCTGAGGTCTTAGGCACAGAGAACAATTAAACATTAAGTGATAATGACCATGTCAGATCAGTAATTCTTGTCTCATTGGAATACAGAATCATAGGATTTAGAGTCGGAAGGGGTGTAAAATGTCATCTCATCCAACCCTTTCATTTTACACATGAGAAAACCAAGGCCCACAGAGGTTAATTATCTTACCCAACATCACACAGGTTAGTAGCAGAAGCGGGAATTTAAGAGGCAAATGTGATGGAGTAGAGTACTAGGAATGATGAGAAGCTAGGTAAAAATCCTGTCTCAGTACTTCTGGTCTGCCTGAGCTTAGCACAGGAAAGAAGTGTCCCTACAATACGGGCAGCAAAGTAACAGGCAGATCACATGTGAATACAGAGAAGAGTTCAAAGGGCCCAGCCGGACGATCAGACACCCCAGAACTGGAGTCCTCATCCAGGAAAAAGCTTTGCTTGGCCTGTGACTCTTCTTCCAGCTCGCTCACTTCTGTGGCCAACTCCAGCCCAGAGGCATCACATTTTATCAGCTTCCTATAGACAGTCTCAGAGTCGGAGAGAGGCAGGTGGCGACTTCCTGCTCCCACAACTCAGCTGCCCTGCCTCGCTGATTGTGGGAAAGAGGTCCCTGGCATGAGTTCTTCTCATCTGTGTCGTGTCTCTTTGCGGGGTGGGGAAGACTGCTGCCAACAAATGTCATATTGGAACTCTTGAAGCTTTTCAAACTCGAACTCATTGGATTGTGGGCTCCTTGAGAGCAGAGACTGTCTTTTGCCTTCATGTCCCCAGTGGTTCGTTCAGTATCTGGCACACAGTAGGTGCTTAATCAATGTCCATTGACTGACTAAAGCTTCCACGCCAGCTGTGGAGCTGGCACGAGCACTGCATTTAGCATCTGGTCATCTTGGCTGACTTCCCAGCTCTGCTATTTACCAGATTTATGACCTTGGGCAAATCAGCATACAATTTGATTCAATTCAGTAAAAGCTGATCATCTCTGTAGCCTCACTTTGTTGTAACTAAATCCTAGGATTAAGTTTGGATGATCCTATTTACCCAGACTGCCCAGAGGAACCACAGAAGGGCTTCATCCATTCTCGTGAGATCTGCCCAAGCCCACCTGCCTCCCCAAAGCTCCACTGGTATCTCTGAAGAAAGGATCTGGGGAAAGTTGTGTGTGTCCTCACCAAGTAAGGGCCTACCGCTGCTGCTGCTCTGTCCTCCATCCCTCAGTCACCCCCATTTCTGTTCTCCCTGCATGACTTCCATGGAGCAGCAGCTAGGGCAGAAAGTCAGGCTGAACAGGTTGGAGCAGAGTGAATGACTCTGGCCAACCCCACTTTAGTGAAGGAGGGAAATAAAACAGAGGTACTGTGGGTGGGAGGGATAAAAGAAAGTGTAGTAACCTAAAAGTCCTGATGGAATTGGATAGGGCGTATTAGAATGCTCACAATAAGGGAACAACATCCAAAAAAAAAAAAAACTACTGTGCACTCATTCAACCCATTCTGAATGCATCTATCATCTAATCAATCATCCATCAAAAACAAAAAAACACACTCAGTTGTTCAATCATTTTTCAGTCGTGTCCAACTCTTTGTGATCCCATTTGGGGTTTTCTTGGCAGAGGTACTGGAGTGGTTTGTAACAGATTTAAATGGGCAAGCCCATGCATGTAAGTAGCTATTACAAGAGGTACAAGGTATTGGATTTGACCAACATCACCTGGATGTCACTTAGCCTCAATCTGCCACTTCTTTTATTTACTTGTAGCTTCACCGACCCTAGAGTAATCCAGGGGTGTTTTGCAATCATTTATTTTGAAATAAAATGAGATTATGACAGCTTCTAATTAATTAATTAGCTTGATTTCTCTCTCCTCCAATGAATTAAATCAATTATTTAATGAACTAGTGAATACTCTTTTTTCAACACTAATTACTAATATTTTTTCTGTATTAAAATAGCATTAAAATGACAGAATATATACAATTTATTAAAAAATAAAAGCCATATCAAACATATTTGCAGTACTTTTCCTTGGACTAAATATCTACATCCTTGATTAGTAATTGGAAGGGCTATTATTTGAAATGGAGTGGGAGGGAGCACTTTTATCTCATTTAATCTAATGTAGTTGATTATATTACTAAATAGAACAAGAACTATGAAAAGATTCAGAACATGGGAAGAATTTCCCAAGAGCATGTGTACTACTCAGGTGGCACAGTGGATAGGTTTCTGGGTCTGGAGTCAGAAAGACTCCTCTTTATGAATTCAAATCCGGACTTGGATACTTACTAGGTGTGTAACCCTGGGCAAGTCACTTCACCCTGTTTGCCTTAGTTTCCACAACTGTAAAATGAGTTGGAGAAGGAAATGGAAAACCACTTCAGAATCATTGCCAAGAATACCCCAAATGGGGTCATGTAGAGTTGGACACAATTGAAAAAAGACTTAATAACATGCGCATTATTATCATTGTGACTTCTGGTGTCTCCTCTTTTGAGATTCATACTATATAAATTTATTATCTAATCTCAACCCTGGAGTGTTATCAACTAACTCCCAGGATATTCCCCTTGAACAAATCAGTGTTTAGATCATAGTCTTTCCACTTCATGTCCTGCCCTTAATATAAGAGACTCCAACAAGTATATTGATGTTCCCTCCAATACCCTAAATTTCCAGTTCCTAAATCTACTCAATTCCTGCGATCTACTCCCCCCTTCCACTCCACTCTCTACTTCACCTTCACAATGAGATGGTCACACCCTTGATCTTGCCATTACCTGCAAGAAATAATTCATTTGGACCCCTGCTCTATGCCAATCAGTATTAATCAGTTTGATATTTTACATAAATTATATAGGGATAGATGGGTTCCTCTAGCGGGCCTCAAACTTTAATGTAATGCTCATTACTTGTTTGCCAAGTTATGAGGCTCACTTGTGTAACCACAAGAATGCTGTCAAAGATATTTCCATCCTGTTTTACTCAAATTCCATGTCCAAACCCAGCATGGGTGGGATGCCTTGATGCTTTGGAAAGTCTCCCAACTTATTTTTGTACATCTGGACCATTCTCTCTTGTCCAACATGAGCAGATGACCATCTTATGACTATTTGGTCAGCAGAGATGCCCCATGCTTCACCCAACCTGTGACCATCCTCCCAACCCCCCCAACCCCCCTGATATGTCATGTCATTTTTGGCCTTCAAGAGCAAGGTCTATTAACCAATGAGATTTCTGTATTTTACCACACATCTTTTGCATATTTGGGTTTCAAACCCTATAAAAACAAGGTCTTAGGGAGCAAGGGCATCTCAGATCATGAGGAAGATCCGAGGTCCACTCCATTAGAGGGGACCACGGACCCTTTAATAAAGTGCTATTGGCTCAGAGCTCTGCCTCAGTGGTTTTTCTTGCAGGTTGGACAATTTCAATCCCGACACACCTATAACTGTCCTACTTCCATTCTCATGAGCTATGAAAATTCCTTTATCTGATCATAAACTTTCATCGTTCCATCTTTCCCAAAGTCTTACAAATGACAACCTTGTTCTTTGACCCCGTGATGATCTCCAATCCCTTCATCTCTCAGTGCTTTCTCAAGCCATCCCACTGGCACTGGCTACACTCTTCTACCTTCCCTATCTTGACGCCTTGTTGAACCAGTTCATCTTTACACTATGCACTCAAGCCCACTGACCTCTTATCCTATTGCTGATTATTACTGGCCAAACCCCAGTCTTGCATTACTTCTACTATCTATTGTCTTCATGTTTCTTTGAAAGCTGTTGAATGAAGCTGGGGGAAATCATGAAACCGTAGGAAGGGTTTGTGTAACTCCTTTTCATGTAAGGTTCATGGAACACATTTATGTTACCTAATTTCAACTGGCCTGTCACGGCAGCAAGTCCCTAAGTGATTCACTGTCCCGCTTCCTGCTGTAGCTTTTTCAGACTTTTCCATTCCTCCTTAAGACTTCCGCGGCAATCCTTCCCACAACCCTGACGGCTGAGAACCTAGCCTCAAACATCACTGAAAAAACGTATCTCCTCCTCTACCCATCTCACCAGAGGCGGTGGCCCTTCCTTCTCCTTCCCAAGGCAAACTCCGTCGCGCGCAGGAGGGATCCAATTCCATCCCATCATTTCCCATCTCTGCCCCATTGATGGCCCCTCACTTATCTTCAATCCCTTCCTTTCTACCCATTACATCACACCCAAGTCTTCCCACCCTCAGCAGAAAGAAAAAGGGGCTTGACTCAAATGTCCCCCACACTAGCTACCATCTGCTCTCTCTACTTCACTTTTGGGGTGCACGCCTTGAGATGTGCATTTCTACACTTAGCATTTCCAGGGCCTCTCCTCTCACTCTTTTTTGAATCTCTACAATCTGGCTTCTGACCTCATCATTCCGCTGGAACTGCTCTCTCCATTTGCCAATGATCTCTTAACTGACAAATCTT